CATGACTGTGCCACTGGAAAGAGCCCCTGGGTGTCCGGCAGAGGGTGGGGTTGGGGGTAGCTGTGGCCCTTCCAAGCTGGGGGCCAGTCAAAGAAACAGGGCTGGGTTTCCCCTCTGGCAATCTGAGCTCTTGACCTCAGCAGTGTTTTTTCATTGCCAAGGGAACTGCATCCACAAAGGGCCACTCAAGCCCCAGGCATTCCAGTGGCTGCTCCAACAGGCCAGAGACACTCACCACACGCTAGATATGGCCAGGGGCCCCAGGCATTAACACAGGACATGACCTTGAGACACCCCCCGCTCCCACTCCCTGGTCCTCCCAGCTCTCTGGGCTGAGCATGGCTGCCTAGGAGGAATAAATTGAGGCTAGACCACCCCTAGGTCATCCCAGGCTTCAGATCCCAGCTGCACCCCTTGCTAGCTGTTTTACCTCTGTCCATTTATCTAAGCTGAGCCTGTTTCTCCTGTGTAGAACAGGGGTGATCTCTTCCTGATGATTATTATGAGACATAGCAAACATGAAATGCAGAGGCACAGTAGTTGGCTCAAGTCGGGCACACAGTAATATCTCACTGAGAACAGTTTTATTATCATCTTTGGTTGGATGAAGCAAGTTAGGTGAATTTGTGGTCCCTCTCCTGCTTCTACTCCACTCTCTCCAGGACAGTGGTCTGCCCAAGAGTGAGGCAGAGGTCTCAGGAATAATACAGACACCTCTCGCCTAGCCCCATACCCATGTCTCCTCTCTGTGGGACCCCACACTCTTCCCCCTCCCTTAGGTGACAAGATGTTGCAAAGGGAACTGGGCTGGGCTTCAGGTCCTCACCACCTCCTCACACCATAGCCTTTAGCCCCCCGAGCCTCTGCTGTGTTCTAAGGCCTCACCATTCATTCATTCCACGGACTTGTACTAAATACCTACTGTGTGCCAGGCCCTCATGCTGGGGGCAGGAGGATGAGCAAAAATAGACATGGCTGGGCATGTTCATACATGTCATCTAATGCCTGGGTCAAACTCAGCTATGATTTGTTGTTCCCATTTTGTAGACATGGTAACCAAGGCCTGAGGGGTCACAGGCCAGAAACAACGGAGCCAGACATACCTGGTGGAGGGTTTCAGGAACCTCAAACTTTACCACCCCCGGTACCTCTGTGTCCTCAGATAGCATCTGGGGGTTCCAGAAAGTTCCTTGGGCACTGGCCCAGGATGCACAGATGGTGGCCCTGCAGGCAGCCAGGGGCCAAGCACAGATGAGTCAAGAGTGACAAGGGGACTATTTGATACACCAGCTGTGGCATGAGCAGTTTGATGTCCCTCACCCACCGTGACCTGGCTGCCAGGAGGGCCAACTGAATGACTCAGGCACACCTGCTGCCCCATGACTCCCCTCTTCCCCAGCTCAACACAGACACCATGGCCACCTCAGACAGGAACTGTCAAGCAGAAGGTACACACAGACAGTGAGGCCTTCCTCAGGAAGGCTCCCTGGAGCCCAGCTGCTCACCTACCTCTTTGGAGCCCTCAGCTTCCTTGTCTGTGTGGGATACAGTGCCTAGATCATCGAAGCTAGGCCTAGACCCATTTAAATCTCCCAAGAGCAGTCCCGAGTGATTGCCATGACTATCTCCCTATCACAGATGAAGCTGCTCAGGGCCTCCTTTACTCCCCAGACAGAAGTTTTGTTGTTGTTGTTGTTTTCTGAGACAGGGTCTTGCTCTGTTGCCCAGGCTGGAGTGCAGTGTTGCAATCAGTTCACTGCAGCCTCAATCTCCTGGGCTTGTCAAGAGATCTTCCCACCTCAGCCTCCCGAATAGCTGGAACCACAGGCTTGCACCACCATTCCCCACTAGTTAAAAAAAAATATTTCTTTTTAGAGACAGGGTCTTGCTATGTTCCCCAGGCTTGTCTCAAACTGCTGGGCTCAGGCGATCCTCTCACATCAGCCTCCCCCTCACATCAGCCTCCCCAAATGCTGGGATTACAAGTGTGAGCCACTGTGCCCAGCTAGAAGTCTTGAGAAGTAATTAGAGTGTCCCTTGGTATCCACAGGGGATTGGTCCCAGGATCCCCACGAATCCCCAAATCCATGAATACTCAACTCCCTTACGAATATTTTACTTTATTTTTTAAATTCAACTTAAGTGGCTGAGATCAAGTCCCTTACATAAAATGGCATAGTATCTGCATGTAACTTCTGCACATCCTTCCATGTATTTTTTCTCCAGATTACTACTGTAATACCTAATACAATGTAAATGCTATGCAAGTAGTTGTTAGACTGTGTTGTTTAGGGAATAATGACAAGAAAAAGGTTTGTACATGTTCAGTGGACAGTCATCCTACGCCTGACTATAGTTTCGATCCACAGTGGGTTGTACCCATGGATGTAGAAGCCATGGATAATGGAGGTCTGACTACATTTATTCTAGAAGCCCATTTCCTGTCCTAAAAATTGGGGATAAGAAAAGAATAGCAAGCTAGGCGTGTTGGCACGTGCCTGTAGTCCCAGGTATTCAGGAGGCTGAGGCAAGAGAATCTCTGGAACCCAGGTATTCAAGGTTGTAGTGCGCTATAATCACACCTATGGATAGCCACCGTACTCCAGCCTGGGCAACATAGTGAGATCCTGTGTCTCAAAAAAAAAAAAAGAGAGAGAGAAAGAGAAACTGTTGCACAGGGCTGGAGAATGGACTGGCTAGATAGTAAGTGTAAAGCCTTCGGCTGAATGTCACTCTCAGGACAGGCTCAATGTTGTCATCAGGCCCTCAAGAACAGACTTGCGAAATGGCCAGGATCCCTGCTGAGGCTTCTCTGCCTGCAATCACATCTGAGCCTCAGTAGGGATGGGGTGGGGTTGGGCACTGCTTCTTAAATTGCCATTTATCCTCAGAGAATGAGACTAAGGCAGGAGGGATATTTCCCCTGGGAAAGCAATCCTAACCAGCCCTATAGTCTGTCCAGGTGGCCAAATGCAATCTGGGCACAGGGCCAAGGAGGGGCAAAGGCCAGAGACCAAGCACATCACTTCGCTGCACTGAGCTTCCCTCTTACTCACACGCCTTTGGGAGAGCTGATAGGGAGGATGCCTCCGGTTCCCTTCAACAGGGAAATCTAATGTCACTGCCCTGACCAGGGGACCAGACTGAGCATCACTAACAGCAGGAAAAGCTGGCATCACACACCTACTAGTGGGTTTATCAAATACATATGCTGTTCCCTGGAAGGGTTTTCATCAAAAAGCTCAAACCTGGACTAATTTAGGCCTTTAGATAAACTTCCAGTCATGGGCAACACAAATCAGGAATAAATCAGACTGCAGGACTGGGACTTCTCTGAACTTTCCAAAAAAATCACTGTGAAGAACGATAAACAGCCGGGCATGGTGGTTCACTCCTGTAATCTCAGCACTTTGCCAGGCTTGAGCCCAGGAGTTTGAGACAAGCTTAGGCAACATAAAAAAAACCCAGTCTCTACAAAAAAAAAAAAAAAATTTAAAAATTAGCCTGGCATAGTAGCACATGCCTGTAGTCCCAGCTACTCAGGAGACGGAGGTAGGAGGATCACTTGAGCTCAGGAGGTGGAGGCTACAGTGAGCTCTAATCGCATCACTGCACACTCCAGCCTGGGTGGCAGAGCAAGACACTACCTCTTAACAAAATGTTTTTTTGAATTAAAAAAACTAAAAACCAGCTAGGTGTGGTGCTCAAGCCTGTAATTCCAGTGCTTTGGCAGACCAGGTGAGAGAACTAATTGAGGACAGGAATTTGACACCAGGCTAGGCAACACAGCAAGTCCTCATCTCTAAAAAAAAAAAAAAAAAAAAAAAGTAGGCTGGGCGAGGTGGCTCACACCTATAATCCCAGCACTTTGGGAGGCTGAGGCGGGTGGATCATGAGGTCAAGGGATCGAGACCATCCTGGTCAACAAGGTGAAACCCCGTCTCTACTAAAAAATACAAAAATTAGCTGGGCATGGTGGTGCGCGCCTGTAGTCCCAGCTACTCGGGAGGCTGAGGCAGAAGAATTGCTTAAACCCAGGAGGCGGAGGTTGCGGTGAGCCGAGATGGCGCCATTGCACTCCAGCCTGGGTAACAAGAGTGAAACTCCGTCTCAAAAAAAAAAAATTTATTGGGCTAGTTGTGGTGGCTCATACCTATAATCCCAACATTTTGGGAGGCTGAGGTAGGAGGATCACTTAAGCCCAGGAACTAGAGACTGGCCTGGGCAACCTAGGAAGATCCTGCCTCTACAACAAAAATTAAAATTAACTAGGCACAGTGGTACGTGCCTGCAGTCCCAGCTATTTGGGAGGCTGAGGTGGGAGGACTGCTTGAGCCCAGGAGTCAAGGCTGCAGAAAGGCGTAATTGTGCCACTGTATTCCAGCCTGGGCAACAGAGCAAGACTCTGTCCCCTCAAAGAAAAAAAAAATGGCCAAGAATGGTGGTGTATGCCTGTAATCCAAGCTACTTGGGAGGCCAAGGCTGGAGAATTGCTTGAACCCAGGAGCTGAAGGCTGCAGTAAGCTACAATCTAGCTGTTGCATCTGGGCCTGGGCGGCAGGGTGAGTCCCTGTCTCAAAAACAAAACAAAAACAACTATAAATGACATTTTAGGGAAATCCAGATATTCCTGGGTATTAGTGTTGAGGAACTGTTCATTTTCTGATCAAATAAAAGGATTGTGGCTATACAGGCTTACTCATATAGAGGGAGGATGCAGTACTTCAAAGTAAAGAATCAAGTCTCTGCAGCTTACTTGCAAATATACCGATATTTATATACATACACATAAATGAGCCAGTGTTACAATGTCAACAACTGTTGACTCTAGTGCTGGTGGCAGGCATACAAGCACATTTGTACACTACTCTTTCCATTGAGATTTTGTTTTCATTAAGAAAAGTCGCAAGTACACCAACTTTCAGAGGCACTCACTACCACCGTCCCTCCCCAAACTCCAAATGACTCCAACAAGATAAAAGACACCAAGGCATCCTGGGAACTGAATATAAATTAAGTTTATTACAAAAAGCAAAATGTTAGTTTCTCATCGTGAGTGATTCAAGAAAACAAGGGTAAGAGCCCTGGCCGGCGCTGGGAGCAGGACACCAGTATGCAGGCTGGCAGGGGCCAAAGGCCAGGTTCAGGAGCGGGCTGACAGGCACTGATTCACAACCTCCAGGAGGTGGGTGTTCTCCAGGGCAGCTGCCACCCTCTCCTTATCTGCAAGTTGCTTGTTCACTAGGTGGGAAGAAGGGTGTGGGGAAGGCAGAGTCAAAGCTAGGCTCTGTCCAGGCTGCTAGCCAGCCCAGCCCTACCTCTGAACCTTTGTATAGGATCTGTCCCCCACCAGCAACAAAGCCCTCCTGTCACTTCCTTCCCAGGACCCCACACCCTCATCAGGCTACCTCAACCACCTGAGCCCACCTAGCCTGCCTTCTTAGGACCTCTCCACCTGGCTGCCTCCTGTACTGCTAAACCTGACACATTCTGGTCCTGTATACTTGATGAAAGGGGATTTGGGAGAAGAGGACATGGTAAGCACAGGAGATTCAAGTCAGGCCAGCTTTAGTCTAAGCTATCACCTACACTGAGGAGTCTCTGGCAATTTCACTCACCCAGTCACCCATCCCCAGTCTTGCCCATAGACTCCTGGGCAAGAGGTGAACCTCAGACTGCTTAGGGTGTCCAAGCCAACACCCTCATCCCCAGCCCACACTTACCAGCATGCTCTGAGGCGTGGGTCCCCGGGGTAATGTGCACATCCATCTGGGAGAGAGATAACGGGGCCTAAACACCCACCACTGGCCCAGAATTTTCCCCCCAGCCCCCAGACCCTCAGGCACCATCTCCAGCTGATCATTCTCCCTAATCATCTAATCATGCCTTTGGACTGTAGCCCGCCCGTCCTTTACACTCCAAACCCATCCACAGCTATTCCAATTCCCCCCGCCCCCCACCACCAAGACTGAATCTTGCTCTGTGGCCCAGGTTGGAGTGCAGTGGCAAGATCTTGGCTCATTGTGATCTCCTTCTCCCAGATTCAATCAATTCTCCTGCCTCAGCCTTCTGTGTAGCTGGGACCACAGGCCCACGCCACCACGACCCGCTAGTTTGTGTAGTTTTAGTAGAGACGAGATTTTTACCATATTGGCCACGCTGGTCTCAAACTCCTAACCTCAGGTGATCCACCCACCTCAGCCTCCAAAAGTGCTGGGATTACAGGCGTGACCCACCACGCCAGGCCTTTGCTATTCCAATTTTATCCAAAGAACTGGCCCACTATTGTTGATTTAAAGGCCTGCCTGGGCCCCACCCCTGATCCAAATCCATCTGCAGCTGCTTGCTGCCCTTCCTGCCACACTCTTCAATATTTTTCTCCACTTTCCAGCTCAGGTTTTTATTCTTGTCACATCGACTTGGAAAGTTTCCTCTGCAAATTGGAATCCTTCCAGGCCCACTCTGATGTCCTCTCCATGTTCATGCTCTCCCAGTCCCCATCCTCAGCAGTAGACCCTCATTGCCTGGTCCCACTTCCGGGGCTCAGCTCCAACTGACCTTGAAACGCTGAGGAAGGGAGCGCAGAAGCTTGACCTTGATGGACAGGCCAATAAGAGTGGCCATGCTGCAGTGCGGAATGGTTGGTGTGAAGGCCACAGCCACTGTACTCTCAGGGTCGCTAACCTAGTTGTGGAGGGGAGACGTCAAGAGGCAACCACCCTCAGCCCAAGGCCTCTCAGTTTGTTGCTTTGGGCAAATCATCCAAATTCTATGGACCTCAGTTTCAACACCCATACAATAGGCACAACAATCTCCCCTCCCAAAGATACCCTTCGGTGTCCGTGAGTGGAGAGCACTCCAACTCCTGGTGCACAGAAACCTTTCCGACTCTCTAGAACAACTCGCTCCCCTCCGAAGTGACTCACCTGAACCCGGACCTGCTCTACTACGTTCAACTCCTCTAGCGTCAGTGGATGCTCCGGGTCGTTGATGGAGCGAATCAGATGTGGCAAGTGAAGGAAAAGGGACTCTGCGCCTTTGCCCACTCAGAACCCTTTGCCAGGAATCCCTGGTTGGGATGCGGCTTCAACAGCTGCTGGACATCACTGCTCCCCCCACCGCAAGCCCCCGGAACCCGCCCGCGGCCAGCAGCGGCGGATATCGAAGATCTCGCGTGCGTCGATGCTGTCGGGAACCTGCTCGTCCTCCTCGCCCGCCGTCACGGGCCGCTCCCCTGAGCGCTGGTAGATGAGGGGGTTGGCATTCTCCAAGAGGCCGCCGCCGCCCACCATCGCGGAACCAACTCAGCCGATACTAGCAAGCGAGCACTTCCGCTCCTACTCGCGCACTTCCGGGGAACGGAAAGGGGGCGTGGCGCAGTGACGGGGTCCCGCGAGGGACGCGCCGCGCTGTGCGTTCTCGGCCTGGGGTGTGAGAGAAGTGGTAACCTCCGTTCCAGCTGCTTGGTCCCGGGAACATGACAGTCGATGGGGCAAAGGCTCTGAGAAGGGACCCCGGCGGTGCTGGGTCCTGTGAGCCCGTAGCGGGCTGAACCCAGAGTCCACCGCCAGGTCTCAGAGGGCACTACACGGTGTGAGGTGATCCCCGCACCGCTTCCTCCGGGAAGTCAGGCTGTCGGGGCGCTCCCGTGCCCAGGCCAGTTGGTTGCCTCTGACCTGCAGTGTCTCGGGATCTCCAGGTGACGCGCCTGCCTCTCCGGCTGTACCATAGGCCCAGGAGTGCCTGTCCCAGGGCTTGGACCGGCAGGTGCTCATGAAATATTTGTCAAGTGGATAAATGACCCTGGCCGTGGTCTCCGCGGGAGGTGAGGAAACCAAAAGCCAGTGAGGCAAAGCCGGGCGGTCCTTAAGTAGTGCCGCGGTCACCTGTACGTTTCAAAAGAAGGGCGTGACTGAGTAGGGAGGAAACCGCGGAGACCCTAAGACCCTGGACTGTAAAGGGGATGAGAGGTTGTGAAGGAGGACCCAAGAAACCGAATCCTGAAAGCAAGGAGCGTCCACAATGAAGGTCACTCCTCGCTGCCTTTGTTCAAGCGGTTTCCTTCACTCCGATCAAGTTCCTTCTCATTTCTCCATCTGTGGGGATTCTGAACATGCACCTCCTCAGAGAAGTCCTCGTGGGTTCGCCAATTCTAGTTTATTGCCCCCTCTTCTGAATCTCCCAGCGGCTCATCGGGCCTGTGGACAAGGACAGGTTTGAGGAGAGGATTCTCTGTATGGGGAGGTAATGCATAAGCCGCGAGGCCCCTTCTGAGAATGCCAAAGGGGCCCTGCCTGCCACTAGATCCCCACCCACCTGTGACTGCTCGGTCCCGCTCTCCTGCCAGACCCGCCTTGCCTTGGCTCAAGCCAGCGCACTCCGCCCACTCCCTTTCCAGTCCAAACTCCAAGGCTGGACGAGGCCCTGATCCACGGCTGGACAGACCCGGGGCAGCCTCTGGGTGAACAGCAGCGTGTCCACCGACGGCGCACCGAGACCTGTGACCATGCGACTGGACCGACTTCAGGCGCAACTGAGCGCAGTGGCCTGTGGGCTCCTGCTGCTTCTCATTCAGGGCCAGGGTGAGGCTCCCACGGAGGGGCGACAGGGACCGGGCTCAGATCTGCCAAATGCTGGGGAGGCAGAACCTGACAGTGCGGGAGGGAAGGCGCCTGGGAGGTAGGAGCTGGTGGAGATGACAGCGTGGAACTCGTGAGTCCCACATGACACCTCCCTGACACCCAGGGTGGGCTTCTAGAAGCACAGAAAGGGTTGGGCTGCAGGACACCACAGCAAGGAGCCAGCAGAGTACAGGGGCCCAGGAGCGTTGGGACATGCTAGGCTGGGTTGGCAGCCTCAGGACTGAGTGGATGAGGGATTGAGGGTGCGGGGATTCAATCCATTTCCCTCTTATGATTGTGGCTGTAGCTGGTGCTGCTGGCAGGTAAGAACAATAACAGCTTCTTGCAGCATCTGGCTCCCAGTGTGTGGGGTCCTTGGCCAGGGGGACACCCTGACCCTTGCAAAGGGGCCTCAGACAAGGTTAGCGGTCTTTGGGGAACAGAAGCGCCCAAGCACCAAATCCTAAAGCAGATCTAAGAGGCTACAGTGGCTGGATGCAGTTGACTCATGCCTGTAACCCCAGCACTGTGGAAGGCCAAAGGGGAGAATCACTTGAGCCCAGGAGTTGGAGGCCAGCCTGGGCAACATAGTGAGACTCTGTGTGGACAAAAAATTAAAGGAAATTAGTGGGCTATGGTGACCTGTGATGTATAGTCCCAGCTACTTGGGAGGCTGAGGTGGGAGGATCACTTTAGCAGTGGAGGTTGAAGCTGCAGTGGGCCTTAAATGCACTACTGTGCTCCAGCCTGGGTGACAAAGCAAAAATCTATCCCCAGAAAAAAAGGGCCAAAGAGCTCGTGGTGTCCCTTCCCCCATTTACATCATCCTGGGCAAGGGCAGAACTTGGCTTCCCAGGCAAAGGTGATGGCTCTGTGTGCCTGCCAGCCTCCTCCAGGTACTTATCAGAAGCTCCAGGGGTGTTTTTGGCCTTTGGCCTCTCACCTGGAACTCTCCTAAGTGTATGATCTGACTGTCTCTCCCAACCCTTTCGCAATGTAATCTGCACAGGTGGAGCTGTACTCCCCCCGCCCCGCAGTGCACCCCTGCAGGGCTTCCTCCCATTCCTGCCCTTGACCACATTCCAGAATTCACCAGGAGCCCAAGCAGGAAGAGCTGCCCGGCCTCACAGATGCCTACCTTTTAAAATATTTTGGGCCAGGCACAGTGGCTCACACCTGTTATCCCAGTATGTTGAGAGGCAGAGATGAGAGGATCGCTTGAGGCTAGGAGTTAGAGACCAGCTTGGGCGACAAGATTTGTCTCTACCAAAAAAAAAAAAAAGAGTCAGGCATGGTTGCCTGCAGCTGTACTCCCATGTACATGGGAGGAGGCTGAGGTGGGAAGACCTCAAGCCCAGAAGGTAGAGGCTGCAGTGAGCTGAAATCACACCACTGCACTCCAGCCTGGGCAATAGATGGAGACCTTGTCTGCCAAATATATATATATATATATATAATTTTGGTTTGGACCCATATTCAAAAAGAATAATTGACAAGCCATAGGAGGGTACAGGTGATGTGTGCCATCCTCTTTTGTCCCAACCAGTCTTGGCTTCTCCTCAGGGGCCATCAAAGTCCCCATGGCATTTTACACAGTGCCCAGCAGTTTACACAAGAATAGATGTGCACACTTGTCCTTGATTTTCATCTAAACGGTCATAAACTGAGCCACTTTCTGGGGCCAGGCTTCTCCACTGTCTACCACAAGGGGCGGCCTCCTCACACCCCTACATGGTAGAGCTTCTTCATGCTGATTAATGGAAGGGCTTCTCTCAAGGATGAAGCAAGTAACGAATCTCTTTATTACATGAAGGTGAGGTAACAGGTCTCTAATCAGGGACATTTCAGCAGGTGATGTCCTTTGCTGTAATAAACATCAGGCATCAGTGGCCAGTGGCCACAGAGAATTACATGGATGGACATCCCCTCCAGCAAGGAATAATGTGAAGGAATTATGTTACTGGGCAGAGGAGTGGGCCTTTTGACTTGGAGACATTGTTAAGTTGTCCTCTCTGCTGCCTGTAAATGTCTATGACCCTGGCCTCACCCACACCAGGTGGCATCAAATAGTTTATCGGTGTTGAACTGACAGGTGTAGGGTAGCATTAGCTCCCTAAGGCTGTTTTTGTTTTTGGACTTTTGTTTTTTTGAGACAGAGTTTCACTCTGTTGCCCAGGCTGGAGTACAGTGGTGCCATCTCGAATTACTACAACCTCTGCTTCCCAGGTTCAAGCGATTCTTGTGCCTCAGCCTCCCAGTTAGCTGTGTCTACAGGAATATGCCACCAAGCTCAGCTAATTTTTGTATCTTTTGATAGAAACAAGGTTTCACGATGTTGACCAGGCAGGTCTCAAACTCTTAACCTCAAATGATCCACTTGCCTCAGCCTTCCAAAGTGCTGGGATTACAGACTTGAGCCACCATGTCTGGCCTGTTTTTTGACTTTTTATTATGGGACTGGGCTCAGATTTCCCAAATCCTACAGAAGCAGAACCTGAGATTACAAAAGGGAGAGTGCCAGGTACTCCTGAGGCACTCCCAGGAACCTCCCTGAGGCACAGAGAAGGTCAAGGCTGCTTGAGGACTGCACAGCACCAAGGGATGAGCCAAGTCTGAGATAGAAAGAGTAATATAACAAATCCAACGTATCTATGTCTAGCTTCAGCAATGACAAAGATCTCATTTTTGTTTTTGTTTTAAATCAGCTTTCTCAGGTTGAATATAACCTGGTGTTTTCTGGATGGCCATCTCTCCATTGCACCATTATTGAAACAAATCCCAGACATCATATCATCTGTAAATTTTTCATGTCCTTCTAAAACAAAAGGAACATATATATATATATATGTATGTGTGTGCATTTCCACAACATAATATGTTCTCAGTTTAATCAAATGTACAGTCAGGTGTTCTTTCATATTTATAAATGATATTTTTATTAATACAAGTTTTTTTTAAAATCAGGATTCAAATAAGGTTCATACTTTGCAAATTGGTAGACATTTTTTTTTTAAACAGAATCTCACTCTGTTGCCCCAGCTCACTGCAACGTTGCTTCCCAGGTTCAAGGGATCCTCATGCATCAGTTTCCCAAGTAGCTGGAATTACAGGTATATACCACCACACCTGGCTAATTTTTAGAAGAGCAGGGTTTCACCATGTTAGCCAGGCTGGTTTTGAACTCCTGACTTCAGGTGAGTCGCCCACCTCAACATCCCCAACTGCTGGGATTACAGGTGTGAGCCTCCATGCACAGCCAATTTTCTTGGCTTTATACTTAGGAGTAGAATTGCTGGGTCATATGGCAACTCTATGTTTAATCCCCTGAGAAACTGCCAGACTGTTTTTTAAAGCAGTTGCACTATTTTACCTTCTTACCAGCAATGTATGAAAGTTTCAATTTTTCCACATCCCTACCGACACTTATTATCTGTCATTTTTAATGTGTTTCTTGAATCTCTTTCAATCTTCAGATTTTCCCTCTGCCTCTCTTTTATTTTCTTTCTAAATTTTTCTGTGTGTTGAAGAAACCAGTTTATTTGTTGTGAAGAGGATCCCACTATCTAAGTTTTTCTGATTGCATCCCAGTGGTGTCTTTTAACTGTTCTTCTGTCCCCTGTCCACCCTGTAAATTTCTATTTACATTCCAGAGGCATAATCAGATTTGGATTTTGGGTTTTGTTTGGTTTGGTTTTTTGGAGGACTACTTCATGTGTGGTGCTGTGTACTTCTGATAGAAAATATGTAATGTCTGATTGTCTTGCTTTTTGTGATACCACAAAATGAGTGGTTGACATCGCACTTAGAATTTAATATGCATTTCTCTTACTGTGAATGAGGCAAATATCTCTTTGTTTATTTGAGAGACACTGATTTGTATTGCTTATTCTGAACATATACTGCTTTTTCTGTTGTGTAGCTGGCATATTCTTTGTAGAAATTCTTTATCTGTTAAGAGGACTGATTTTCTCTGTTAGGTGATTTTTTTTTTTTTTTTTTTTTTTTGGTAGCCTTGGGCCAGTTATTCTCTCGCTCCAATTGGCTTCAGTTTCTCTTTTTTTTTTTTTTTTTTTTTTTTTGTTAGGTGATTTTTAATCACTTCCTCCCTTCCTAATCCCCACAGCAAGCAGGCTGTGCTCTTTTATTTGGAGACTGGGTCTTGTTTTGTTGCCTAGGCTAGAGTGCAAGGGCGGGATCATAGCTCATGCAGAGTGGAACTCCTCCTGCCTTAGCCTCCTGAGTAGCTGAGTAGCTGGGACTGCAGGCCCACACCACCACTCAGAGGCTGTGCCTTTTTTTTTTTTTTTTTTTTTAGGCAGGTTTTCACTCTGTCACCGAGGCTTGAGTGCAGTGATACAATCATGGCTCACTGTAGCCTCAACCTCCCAGGCTCAAGCAATCCTCCCAAGTCAGCCTCTCAAGTAGCTGTGACTACAGGCATGTGCCGTGATGCCCAGCTAATTTATTGATTTTTTTTAGGCAAAGACAGAGTCCTACTATAGTGCCCAGGCTGGAATCTGTGCTTTTTATGTCTCAGCCACAGCCACACTTCTCTCTTGTAGCTCTTCTCACCAACATCACTCAAGGTTTCGAGGACGCTTTCTTTATGTCATTTCTTGCCACCTTGGGCATGACATCCCTGAGGACAGAAATCTTGCCTGCCCAATTCCCACAATCATCCTATGGTCACATGACCTGGCCCACAGTTGAAAGGACACTCTAGTCCCATGAAGGGCCTGGGACCCTTTGTTTGAAGGTCTCAGGGCAGAATGATGGTGCCAGGCCCCAGGGAGCCTCAGCCTGGTGGGATGGAGACAGGCCCAGGAAGGCAGAGCCTGAAGGGAGTGTCCCAGGAAGTAAGTCTGTAAAGCCATGTTTATAGACCAGGGTCCTTGAGCTGAGCTCAAGGATGCCAAGGAGGCAGCAAAACCAACAGTCTGGGAGGGCAGCTAATTGGTCACACCCAACCGTGATGTCTGTCTCTTTGCCCACAGGCCAGGACTCCGCCAGTCCCATCCGGACCACACACACGGGACAGGTGCTGGGGAGTCTTGTCCACGTGAAGGGTGCTGATGTGGGGGTCCACACCTTCCTGGGAATTCCCTTTGCCAAGCCACCTGTAGGTCCACTGAGATTTGCACCCCCTGAACCCCCTGAATCTTGGAGTGGTGTGAGGGATGCAACCACCCATCCGGCCATGTAAGCTCTCCCAGGGGTCCAGAAACTCCAGGCCCTGGCGTAGGGTGGGGGTGCCCTGAGCTCAGCTAGGCTGCAGTGCTCATTTCATCTAAACCCCCACAGCCAATTTTCCTTCTGAGTCTTGTGGATTCCCACGTGCATTTTCCCAGTGAGCATGCTGAGGTTCAGGAGGGTGTAATAACTTCTCAGACCCCTGGCTCAGCATTCAGAGGGCATTGGCTCCAGGTGCTTAAGGGAGGGAGAGACAAATATCTCCCCAGATTCTGGTTATGACAAGCTTTCTCTGAAACCAGTGGTAGGTGTCTCTGGGAAAGGTTCAGGTTGGCTCTATGAACCTTGTAGGAGCCCCTAACTCTAGTAGCAGATATTGCAGATAGCTGAAGAGAACAGTAGTGGTAACTACCTGCACTCACCACAGGCACTGTGTCCACCCACAGGGCCAGGAGCCATTGGCCAAGAGATGTGTATATGTTTACAGCTGGAGACCATTTGGGAATGATGGGTTTTTGAGAGTTTAAACTTGAGATGAGGGACATCCTACTGCCTTTCTCATGAGAAATTAGCATCCATTCATTCATGTAGCACACATATGTGGGCTACTCCCCTGTTCCAGGCCTGAGGGAGTACAGCAATATAGTGGTGAATGTCAACACATGCGCCAGTGGTTCTCATAGAAACCCCTAAGAGTCAAGGTTTCCGGTGTCGGGAGGAATGATATCCAAGGTCCTCAATAACCTTGAGGCCTGCCTGGAAGTCCAAGCTCCATTCCAGCTTCCCCAGAGCCTGTGGCCTGTAACTTGGTGGGAAGACATTTTAGAGAGGGATCATGTGTGAGCAGGTTATTGTGGGAAGAGGCTGAGGGTGGTTGGGAGCACATCTGAACCCACGGTCTGGTTTTGGCCACGACCTGGACCTTGGACTGATTGCTTTCATTACCAGGTGTCTGCAGGACCTTACCACACTGGATTCAGAGGTTATGAACCAAGTCAATGTGACCATCCCTTCCATTTCCATGTCCGAGGACTGCCTGTACCTCAGCATCTACACGCCGGCCCATACCCATGAAGGCTCTAACCTGCCGGTAGGTGTCAGACCACCATTCACTGGGAGTCGGAGGACAATTCTTCTGCAAGAAGCTACAAAGGACATTATTAGCTCAGGCCCTGCTGCAGGGTGGACCATGCTGAAAAGCTTCTTACTATCAGGTCCAAGAAATACTCCTTAGCCAGGCTATGCAGCTGGCCCCTGGGCCTGGGGTCACAGAGTTCTGGCTGCTCCCAGAGGTCAAAGGCTGTGGCTCTGGGTTGGACTCAGGACTCAGCCAGCCAACTCATTCCCAGGAGATCCACTCAAGTGCCCAAGGGCTGCACTTTGAGGTTACCAAGATCCCAGCCATGGATAATGTGTTGGGCCTATGAGAATGGGCACACACAAAAGTATCTTGTTAGAGATGACATCTTGCTCTGGTTTTTAGGCTAGAATGCAGTGGCTTGAGCATAGTTCTCTGTAACCTCAAATTCCTGGGTGATCTTCCCACCTCAGGTTCCTGAGTAGCTGGGACTACGGGCCTATGCCACTATGCCTGGCTAATTTTTAAAACATTTTCTGTTGAAATGGGGTCTCACTAAGTTATTCAGGCTAAGGAGGACATTTTTGATGAATGTTCATGTGGGGCCATCAGGGAGACACCCCTTTTCTTTCCACTTTGGTGACTTTTCTGGGACTAATGAAACCAGGCTTTGATACAGAGGATAGACCCCAAAGACTGGGAGGCCTGGTCTTCCTGACAGATCTTGGGTGCCTGGCCTGTGGCCCACATGATGAATTTGTGCTGGGGAGGTACAGGGGCAAAGCACTAGTTGTTCTAGGTAGGGTCCCTGGTGGGTTGGGGCTGGGTGGGAACATCGTGGTAGCTGCCTTGATTTCCCAAGGTGATGGTGTGGATCCATGGTGGTGGGCTTGTTTTTGGCATGGCTTCCATGTATGATGGTTCTGTGCTGGCCGCCTTTGAGGACGTGGTAGTGGTCACCATCCAGTACCGCCTGGGTGTCCTGGGCTTCTTCAGGTGAGACTAGGGCTGGGTTTGGCAATGGGGGCTGAGCGGGGCCAGGACAGCCCTGTGATCCCTGTCCTTGCTACTTCTCAGCACTGGAGACAAGCACGCAACTGGCAATTGGGGCTACCTGGACCAAGTGGCCGCACTACGCTGGGTCCGGCGGAACATCGCCCACTTTGGAGGCAACCCTGACTGTGTCACCATTTTTGGCGAGTCTGCGGGTGGCACGAGTGTGTCCTCACTTGTCCTATCCCCCATAGCCCAAGGACTCTTCCACAGGGCCATCATGCAGAGTGGCGTGGCTGTGCTGCCCGGCCTCATTGCCAACTCAGCTGATGTTATCTCCACGGTGAGCCCTCAGCGGCAGAGGCCTAGGCCCACTACCTCCTCTCATAACCCTCAGAGCCTCTGTCTGTTAAACGGGGATGACAAGGGCCATCAAGGGTCAGAATGCACATCCTGCTGCCATTGCAGAGGCCAAGTATGTTCTGTGGCTTTTGTACAAAGTTGTCACCCTGGAGATCCCTATCATAAGGAGAACCATCTAGGCAGATGGGATGGCCCCTGTGTCTGGGACTTCTGAGTTGGAACACAGTCAGAACTGCAGGAATTCATACATAGCGCCCTGTGAGATTTGGGGTGCCCCTGCCCCCAGCTAGGCCTTAGGCAAACTCCTCTAATCTACCTGGAAGGATGAGCCAGCCCCTGCCTGGTCCCTTTGCAGGTAGTGGCCAACCTGTCTGCATGTGACCAAGTTGACTCTGAGGCCCTGGTGGGCTGCCTGCGGGGCAAGAGTAAAGAGGAGATTCTTGCAATTAACAAGGTTGGTCTAAACGGATGTGGGTGTGGAGGAAGGGGTGCGATAGGCATGGGGCTGGTTGTCCTGCATGCCCCTCATATCCCCTGGGCACGTTATCTCATCTGCATGCCTGGGTGTCATAGCCCTGGATGGGGACTGAAGGTCGGTGTACACTGAGCCAGGCATCGGATCTCCTGGGGTGGATATAGCATCCAGGGATGAACCAGGAAGGAGGGAAAGGTACTCAGAGGGCATGGGAAGATGTCTGGGACCTGACCTCGTTCCCTGACCTTGCATTTCCCCTCAGCCATTCAAGTGTATGATCCCCGCTGTGGTGGACGGGGTCTTCCTGCCCAGGCACCCCCAGGAGCTGCTGGCCTCTGCTGAATTTCAGCCTATCCCCAGCATCATTGGTGTCAACAACGATGAATTCGGCTGGATCATCCCCAGTGTGAGGCCCAGCTCAAGCCCTCAAGTGCCTGGGGAGCCCATCTGGTAGCAGGAGGTCCTCAGGTCTTTGTAGCTCCAGGCTTATCCCATTCCCAACTACATATTCTCTCCCTGCCACCTAGATCATGGGTATTTATAACCCCCAGAAGGAAATGAACAGAGAGGCCTTGCAGGCTGTTCTGCAGAAAATGTTATCATTGATGGTAAGGCTCCTGGGGTCCCACACCAATGGGGAGGGGCTCCTCTTCTCTCCTGAGGCAGAGGAAATCCAACCCCAATACCCTGCCTATGTAGCACCTTCATGAGCAAAGGCCCAGGTGTGAGTGTGGTTGGGGGTGGGGTCACCTCAGAGCCTCGACTTTTCTCCTCATTCCCTGTTCCATCTCACAGTCCATCTCCCCAAGCGCGAGGCCACCTCCTCCTCGCCTCTGGCAGCCCGCCTAACCTGCCTCTTCCTGATCCACCTGGGGTAGATGTTGCCTCCTACATTTGTGGACCTGCTGATGGAGGAGTACATTGGAGACAGTGGAGATCCCCAGACCCTCCGAGCCCAGTTCCAGGAGATCATGATGGACTCCCTGTTCGTGATCCCTGCACTCCAAGTAGCACATTTTCAGCGTGAGTATATTTGGAACTGAGGCCTGACTGGCAGCAGTGCAGCTCAGGGCTGTGGGTCCTAGGTAAGACCTGTTGCTGTCCAGGTCCCCACTCATTTTTATTGGGCCCCTGGGATACTTGACATCCATCATCGGTGTAAATTCTCCTGGCTAGCCCAAGAGACAGACATTTCCCCTGTTTCACAGATGAGGAAATTGAAGTTAAGACCTTCAGTGACTTCCCCAAGATTACACAGCTAAGAAGTCCAAAGCCATGATTTCTCCCACGTCCCTCCCTCTGCTCCTGCCCTAGCTTGGGGCTCCCCATCCCACTGTCCAGATTCCAGCCAGCTTTGGACCTAGGTATCTTGTTATCATGGGTGAGGCCAGAAGGCTGCAGGGAAAGGCCACCGAGTCATAAGCTGTCCACCCCGCAGGTTCCCAGGGCCCTGTGTACTTCTACGAGTTTCAGCATCAGCCTAGCTGGGTCAAGAACATCAGGCCGCCGCACGTGAAGGCAGATCATGCTGATGAACTGCCCTATGTCTTTGGAAGTTTATTCTGGGGCAACTATGGTGAGTCTTGTTCTTTTCCCAGGAAGTGGGCTGGGACCATGACTGGATTTCTGAGGGGTGATTGTTTGTCCTCACTGCCTAGATAAGGAAACTGAGGCTCAGAGAGAGGATGAGATCAGGTGTCCAAGGTCTTACAGCTCCAAAGGCTGAGCTAGGATTCGAATTCATGACTCTTCAGACTGGCCTATGCTCCCTCTACCTCTCGCCACCCTTGGGTGTCTGGTAGTGGCAAAGCAGGTGTTTCAAGGGCATGTTTGTTTTTTCAATGACTCCCAGCGACGGAAGGAAGAAGGGGCCTTTGGGGCCAGGAATGAGCTAAGGAGGGAGTCACCTAGAGACTGGGCTAAGAGGAAGTTTGGGAAAGGGGAGGGCTGGGTCCTGAGGGCCGTGGGAGAAAAAGCAGAGAAGCGGGACTGGGGGCCGAGGGTGGGGGCCACAGACAAGCTCCACTTGGGATGCCAGGGTGGGACAGCCTGACCAAGACACATGGCACCTTCCTCTCCACAGTTAAATTCACTGAGGAGGAGGAGCAACTAAGCAGGAAGATGATGAAGTACTGGGCCAACTTTGCTCGAAATGGGTGAGACAGCACACTCCTGCCTCAACCTCCCCGAGGTGGGGCCTGTGCCCATCCAGCACTCTCCTAGTCTGGGGTGACTTCATTAGCACACCTGTGTCCTTAATCACATGAGAGCCCCTTCCCCAGCTCCGAAACCCACTCAGACAGCATAGGGGTGCCATAAGACAGTGACACACTCCATGTCCCCAGACTGCCTGGAGGGTGGGCGCCAGTGCTGGGCCACCATTAGGGCCTCTCTCCCAGAGAGAGGGACACAGCAGGGCCAGCCGTCCTGTCCCCACTGGAGCTGACACTAGCAGAAGGGAGTTTGTCTTCTGTTTCTGGAAACCTTTGTCCTTGTTCCCCAAGCCCACTTGGCCTACTTGGCTGCCTTGCCTGACCAGAGTCAGGGTGGTCAGGTATGGGCTCCAGGGGCTCCGAGTGACCATCATACTGCCCTGCTGGGACGGCATGCCTACAGGAACCCCAACAGCGAGGGTCTGCCCCACTGGCCTCTGTTCGACCAGGAGGAGCGATACCTGCAGCTGACCCTACAGCCTGCGGTGGGCCGGGCTCTGAAGGCCCACAAGCTCCAGTTCTGGAAGAAGGCGCTGCCCGGAAAGATCCAGGAGCTCGAGGAGGCTGGAGAGAGACACACAGAGCTGTAGCTTTCTGTGCCAGGGACGAGGGGGTGGGCTCGCTTACAGGTGAGGGTCAGCCTGCTGTGTCCACATACACCCACTGAGGAGAAACAAGTTGATTCCTTCCTTCATATAGCCATTCATTCATTCTTCTGTGCATCCATTCAGAAAGCATTTATTAAGAACGTACTCAGGAATGATAGCTCATACCGTAATCCCAGCTGTTGGGGAGGCTGTGATGACAGGATGGCTTGAGGCCAGAGGTTTGAGACCAGCCAGGGCAACACAGTGAGATCCCTTCCCAACAAGAAGAAGAAGAAGAAGAAGGAAAGAGAGAGAGAGAGAGAGAGAGAGAATGTGTTTAGAAATTAAATAGGAAAATTTTGAGCTTCAAGTCAGTGACAAGTAAAAAAGATTTTTAAAAAGCAAAGAAAATGTAAGGAAAAAATGAGAAAAATTAAAATTAAAAGAGCATAAAATGCCAGGCACTGTGGCTGATGCCCATAATCTCAGCACTTTTGGGAGGCCAAGGTGGGTGGATTACCTGAGATCATAAGTTCAAGACCAGCCTGGCCAACATGGTAAAACCCCAGCTCTATGAAAAATACAAAAATTAGACAGGCATGGTCTCACACACCTGTAATCCCAGCTACTCAGGAGGCTGAGGCAGGAGAATCACTTGAACCCCAGGAGGCGGAAGTTGTTGTGAGCTGAGATGGCACCACTGGACTCCCAACTGGGTGACAAGAGTGAGACTCCATCTCAAAAAAAAAAGGAATAGAAGAAGCTACTTCATGATGTTAGTTGCCAAGCCTGCCACAGGCCCTCTCTTGTTAGGCACACTCAATAGATCCCCCAGTGGATGGGCAAACCCCAGTGGAATCCCATCCTCCCCAACACTCCACTGATCCCTGGGCCCCATCCTCCCTTCCTCACTTCCACCTTCTCCCTGCCTTCTCTCTTCTTTTCTCTGATCCCCCAGGACTTTCCCACTTCGAGGGAGGTGCTTTGAAGAATTCTGAGTATCAGAAGCCTGTGTTCATTCATCCCTAAGATGTCTGAAAAAATACAAATAAATTCTTTAAAATATAGCCTCTGTCTGCCTCTCTGCAAGTCCAAGTGCTCTTATATATGTTAGTGGCCAACAGAAAACCTGGACACTGGAAGCCCTAGTGTCTTAGTCCATTCAGCTGCTATAGCAAAAATACTACTGTTAAGCCAGGTGCAGTAGGCCACACGTATAATCCCAGCACTTTGAGAGGCGAGGCGAGCAGATCACTTGAGGCCAGGAGTTTGAGATCAGCCTGGCCAAGCTAGTGAAACCCTGTGTCTACTGAAAATACAAAAATGAGCCAGGCTTGGTGGTATACATCTATAATCCCAGCTACTCGGAGGCTGAGACACCGAATCACTTTAACCCAAGAAGTGAAGGTTGCATGAGCCAAGATTGCACCACTGCACTTCAGTCTGGGTGACAGAGTGAGACTCTGTCTCAAAAAATAAACAAACACTAATGGTATTCCAGGCACGGTGGCTCATGCCTGTAATCCGAGCACTTTTGGAGGCGGAGGTGGGCCTCCTGAGCTTGAGCCCAGGATTGAGGCCAGCTTAGGCAGCATGGAGAAATGCCATCTCTACAAAAAAACACAGTTAGCTGCATGTGGTAGCACGCACCTGTAATCTCACTCAGGAGGCTGAGGCAGGTGAATCACTGAGCCTGGGAGGTCAAGGCCACAGTGAGTCGTGATTGTGCCACTACATTCCAGCCTGGGCAACACAGCAAGACCCTGTCTCAAAAAAAATAATAATAATAATTTCCTATACTGATATAAAACTAAAAAAAAAAAAAAATACTACAGGTGGATATTATAACTTGGGTGCCTTAGTATGACAAACATGTATTGCTTGCAGTTCTGGAGGCTTGGAAGTCCAGGATCAAGGTGTCAGCAGATTTGGTGTCTGGCAAGGGCTTATTCTCTGGTTAACAGATGGCAGCCTCTCATTGTGTACTCACACGGAGGACAGGGAAAACCAGCTCCCTCCACCCTCTTTAGTAAGGACACTAGTCTTCCCCTCCGGAAGGCCCACCTCTTAATACCATCACCTCAGGGATTAGGTTTCAGCGTACACATTTTTGAGGCAATACAAATATTTAACCCTGGCATGTACAGCTCCCAGATTCCAGCCAAGGTCACCAATGACTGAAATATATAAGTTCCTATACACCCTTTTTGTTCCACTAAATGTCATCTATCATTAATACTTAAAACAAGTCACTTGTACAGGCCAGGCACGGTGGCTCATGCCTGTAATCCCAGCACTTTGGGAGGCCAAGGCAGGTGGATCACCTGAGGTCAGGATTTCAAGACCGGCCTGGCCAACATCGCAAAATGCCGTCTCTACTAAAAATACAAAAATTAGCTGAGCGTCGTGGTAGCTGCCTGTAATCCCAGCTACTTGGGAGGCTAAGGCAGAATTGCTTGAACACGGGAGTCAGAGGCTGCCGTGAGCTGAGATCGTGCCACTGCACTCTCAGCCTGGGTGACAGAGCAAGACTCTATCTCAAAAAAACAAACAACAACAACAACAACAAAAAACAAGCTCCCTACCCTCCTATCTGTGTCCTGCAGAGGTGACTCACCCCACTTTTGTAAGAAGCAAGGCTGGGCTTGTCCATAGGCCCCTGAGCCTGGGCCGCCTGTGCAGTGGCTGGGAAAGCCAAGCCACTTCCTCAGTGGCCTGTCTCCTGAAGTTTGCTCTTCTTCTCAGTGATTCTGCAGACACTGTAAGGCCCCTACTCACGGGATTGGAGCAAGATGTTTATCTGTGGGGTGTGTCCTGGACATGGGATTGAGGGCCCAAAAGTCCAGGCATATTTAGGACAAAAGACTTCTGTCCCCTGACTCCCAGGGCCTCTCCATCCAGGCAGATGTCCTCTTGCCTTTCAGAATCCCCGTGCCAACCTTTCAACCCCCTGAGCATCCCCGAACTCACCATGTGTGTCCACGTAATTACTTTTCCTACTTACCTCATTGCTGTCCGTAAACTTCTCTCCTTCCCAGCTCCACAAAAACCTTCTCATATTTTATCTCAGTGTGCAAAGGTGGCCAATTGTGTTCAGTTGAAGTATTTTCTCGTTGTCATTAAGACCATGTATTCCTGTCTAGACCCTAGTAATCCCCTTATGCCCTACCTCTGACCAACTTGCCTCTCAGGGTACCGGTTTTCCAGAGAAGTCTCCCTTCTTTCCAACCAGGGCCTTTAAGCCCAACTACAGAGCCTTATGAAGTTAGAGGTTAGAGACCATGACACCTACATTGCCCATATTGGCCACCAGGTGGCAGACAAGGATAATATTAAACGTGGGCTGACTTAGGGAGGAGCAGTTTCCTTTCAGTGAACACTGACTGGTGCATAACGTTGCCACTGCATCCTGAAAGCATTTATTGAGCAAGGCTGCATGCATGTCTCTTCAATTCTGCAGATGTAGAATATGCTTTCCAAGTATATGTTCCCAGGATTACTTAATAGGTATTTTTAACAGCTTTATGGTGAAATGACTTACAATTAAATTTACCTGCCCCTGACCTTTTTTTTTCTTTTTTTCTTTTTTTTTGAGACAAGCCCTCATGTCACCTAGGCCTGAACGCAGTGGCACAATCACAGCTCACTGAAGTCTCCACCTCCTGAGCTCAAGCCATCCCCCACCTCAGCCTCCCAAGTAGCCAGGACTACTGGCATGCGCCACCATGACTGGATAACTTTTTTTTTTTTTTTGTAGAAACGAAGTCTCACCAGGTTGCCCAGCTGGTCTCCAACTCCTAGGATCAAGTGTCTCCCAAATTGGTGGGATTAGAGGCAGGTGTGAACAACTGTGCTTGGCCCAAACTCACCCATTGTAAGTGTACAGTTTGATCACTTTGAGTAAATCTATAAGACATGCAAATACCACCATGTGGAGTTTTAGAATGTTTCTATCACTTCAAAATTCCTGCAAGCCCTTTTGCAGTCAACCATTGTCCTGATCCACGCTCCTAGGCAACCACCAAACTGCTTTCCACTGCTGTAGTTTGCATTTTCTGCAATATAAAGGAAATAATATAAACTATAAATCAATATTAATACTAATTATATAAATAAAATAACTTGTGATTGGCTTCTGTCAATTTTGTGTTTGAAATTCAGCCAGTAGTTATTTTCTTTTATTGCGGAGTGGTATCGTGTGTTTAAATATACCCCCTTTCTTTTTCTTTGAAACTGGGTCTTGCTACATTGCTCAGGCTGGTCTTGAACTCCTGGACTTAAACAGTCCTCCCGCCTCAGCCTCCCAAAGTGCTAGGATCATAGAAGTGAGCTACGGTGCCACGCCAATATATGCCATTTTATTCATTCATCAGGAGGTGCACATTTGAGTGACTTCCATTTTGAGGGTATTTTTATAAAGCTGCTGTGAACATTTTCAGACAAGTCTTTCGTTTCTGTGGGGTAAACGCCTGAGAGTGGACACTCACCATACAATGCCATTCTGGGTCATATGGTAAGAGTGTGTTTAACTTTTAAAGAAAATGCCTCTTATTTAAAGATCTACACTAGGCTGGGTGCAGTGGCTCATGCCTATAATCCCAGCACTTTGGGGGGCCTAGGTGGGCAGATTGCTTGAGACCAGGAGTTTGAGACCAGCCTAGCCAACATAGTGAAACCTTGTCTCCACTCAAAATACAAAAATTAGCCGGGCGTGGTGGTGTATGCCTGTAATCCCAGCTTCTTGAGAGGCTGAGGCACAGGAATTGCTTGAGCCTAGGAGGCAGAGGTTGCAGTGAGCCAAGATTGCACCACTCTACTCCAACCTGGGCAACAGAGTGAGACTCTTAAAATAAATAAATAAATAAATATCTACACTAAACAATAAATAAATATAATTTTTTTGAGACAGAATCTTGCTCTGTCACCTAAGCTGAAGTGCGACGGCACGATCTTGGCTCCCTGCAACTTCCACCTCCCAGGTTCAAGCGATTCTCCTGCCTCAGCCTCCTGAGTAGCTGGGATTACAGGCACGCGCCACCACGCCCAGCTAATTTTCAAATTTTTAATAGAGATAGGGCTTCACCATGTTGGCCAGGCTGGTCTTGAACTCCTGACCTCGAGTGATCTGTCCACCTCAGCCTCCCAAAGTGATCGGATTACAGATGTGAGCCACTCTGCCTGGCCAGAATTTTTTAAAAAATAAAATGCCCAACTGTTTTCCAAAATGACTATATCATTTTTGCAACCCCACCAGCCATTTCTGAGCATTCCAGCTGCTTTCTATCTTCACCAACACTTGGTCTTGTGGGCCTTAAATCTGACTTTTTCAGGTTTTAGGGTTTTTTGTTGTTGTTGCTTTAGAGTTAGGGTCTCGCTCTGTCACCAAGGCTAAGTGCAGTAACATGATCATAGCCCAAGGTAACCTTGAACTCCTGAACCCAAGGAATCCTCCCACCTCAGCCTGCTGAAGAGCTAGGACTACAAATATTTTTTAAAATTTCGTGGCCAGGCACTGTGGCACACCTGCGATCCCAGCACCATGGGAGGCCAAGGCGGGCAGATCATGAGGTCAGGAGATCAAGACCATCCTGGCCAACATGGTGAAACCCTGTGTCTACTATAAAAATACAAAAATTAGCTGGGCGTAGTGGTGCGTGCCTGTAGTTCCAACTACTCAGGAGGCTGAGGCAGGAGAATCGCTTGAACCCAGGAGGCAGAGGTTGCAGTGAGCTGAGATTGCGCCACTGCACTCCAGCCCATCAACAGAGCAAGACTCCATCTGAAAAGAGAAAAAACTGGGAGACACAATCTCATTATGTTGCCCAGGCTAATCTCGAACTCCTGGGCTCAAGCTATCCTCTTGTCTGAGCCTCCCAAATTGCTAGCATTACAGGTGTGAGTCATCGCACCTGACCCTGATTTTTTAAATAGGTGTTTAGTGGCACCTCATTGCAATTGGTTCCTTGGACTTTTAGCCTCTGCTTTTGACTCTTTCTGTGTCTGTGTCTCTATCTCTCTACATTTACTATGTATGTAAGATTTCCTCCCACACGTAGAGCAATGTGCTCCTGAGATGACTCTTCTCTTCCTTTCACTATATTTTCTTGAGATAGGGTCTCCATTTATTGCCCAAGCTGGAGTGCAGTGACATGATCATGGCTCACTGCAGCCTTGAATTCCTGGGCTCAGGCAGTCCTCCCACCTCAGCCTCCGAGTAGCTGGAACTAAAGACATGTACCACCAGCCTGGCTAAAAAAAAAAAAATCTGTAGAGGTAAGGTCTCTCTATGTTACCCAGGCTGGTCTGGAACTCCTGAGCTCAAGTGATCCTTCTGCCTCAGCCTTCCAAAGTGCTGGGATTACAGGTGTGAGCCACCATGCCTGGCCTTCATTTCACATTTTTGGGATTCCTTCAGTCATCATCAATGCCAAGACCTCTGAATGACAGCACAATAAATGGTGGACTGCATGGGGATATTCACCCCAGTAGTCATAGACAGCAGCCCAGGGATTTGGAATAAGTTGGAAGAAATTGACCTGTTAATGTAAAGGAGTTTTGTTACTGGACTCTGAGCTGGGAGGAGCTGGGGGCCTCTTAGCACCCACAGCCAAGGTATTAATTAGGGCATAAGAATAAAGGGCAGAGATAACATCTACCAAGGCAGGAGGCTGAGGCCACAGTGAGTTTGGTGGGAGACACTAAATCAACAACAGGCCGTGCTGTTGAGCAGAGGTCAAGAGCAACTTCTGATGGAGACTGGAAGGAGAGAAACTAAGGACAGCAAGAGTGGATGACTAGCTTTGCTAGAAATAAGAACAGCAAGGCCAGGTGTAGTGGCTCATGCCTGTAATCCTAGCACTTTGGGAGGTGGAGGAAGGAGGATTGCTTGACCCAGGAGTTCGAGACCAGCTTAGGCAACATAGGGAAACCCCATCTCTACAAAAAATACAAAATTAGCCAGGCATGATGGCATGCTTGCACCTATAGTCCCAGCTATTTTCAAGGCCAAGGTGGGAGGATCACTTGAATCCAGGAGATCAAGGCTGCAGTGAGCAAAGATCATGCCACTATACTCTAGCCTGGGTGACAGAGAGACCCTCTCTCAAAAAAAAAAAAAGACGAAAGGAAGGAAGGGAGGGAGGGAGGGAGGAGCAATAGCTAGAGGGCAAAGTAGGTCAAGACAGGCTTTGTATGGTTGCATTTACACAGAAGCTGTATTTGCAGCTGATGGGAGGGTTGCCACTGCCAAAGAGACAACCCTGAGGAGAAGGGAGGGGACCAGGGCCTGGTGTCCATGGGTAGGTCCCAGAGCTGGGACTAGAGCAAGACAAGCAAATGCAAAATTTAGAAGGCACTCACTCTCAGGTGCCAACCCTCTACTGGGTATGACCCTGGGGGTGAGTGCCTCTTTAACTTTTATGCCCTGGGCACTTTGCTGGCCTGCTTCACCCTAGTCCTGGCCCTGGTAGGCCTATCCACAATGCTAGGAGGGAGAGCAGACCTAGCTGCACGGAGTTGGAAAACTTGGCCTTGGGAGTAGATGGAGCTCTCTCCCGACAGCATCTACACCTGAAGGTGGAAGGCAAGATTGCAGGCGGAGAAGAGATCCAGGTGCCTTGATGTGAGTGTTGAAGGTAGAAAGCATGCCAGAGCCAGGTGCTAAAATCTTCAGCAATTGATCAAGAGGGTGTGGCTCAGGGGTGGTGGGGCTGCGATGGGAACAAGAAGAGGAAGGAGAAGGAGGGAAGGACGAAGGTCTGGAAGCAGCTCTGAAAAGCAGAGTGCCCCACCCCAGGCTGCTGGGGAAGATTCAGGAAGCTGCAATGGTTTTTTACTGATTTTTTTTTTTTAGAGACAGAGTCTTGCTATGTTGCCCAGGTTGGCCTCAAGCTCCTGGGCTCAAGCAATCCTCCCGCCTCAGCCTCCTGAATAGCTGGGACTAAAGAATTGTGCCACAATGCCCAGCTGGCACTAGTTACTTTGGCAGAAGGGAAGTTTCATCCTAAAGCCAGTTTCAGCTCTGGGTGCCAGCTAGAGCTGGCATCGTGTTTAGGCACAACCTTCACTCTATCCTTCACTGGGCAAGCAAATATCTATCCATCCTCCCACTGCCTACTCCCAGCCAGCCATGTCCTTGATGCTCAGGCCCAGAAGTGAATCCTGCCCCCTCTTGGAGTGGGAACCTCCTAAGCCAGCAGAGACGGATGCCCTGCAGATCCCCACCCTGGTCAAGAGGGGGCTTCCAACGCTCTGATTCCCAGCCTCTCCATTTTCTTTCTCGATCTCTTTCTTTTCTCCTTCCTTCCATCATTCTTTCTTCTTCTCTTTTCTCTGTCTCTCTTTCTTTCTTTTTCTTTTTCTTTGTTCTTTATCCTTTCTTTCTCTTTCTTCTGTTTTTCTTTTTATCTCTCCTTTCTTCTTTCTTCTTTTTCCTTTTTCTCTTTCTCTCCTTTCTTTCTCTCTCCTCTCTCTCTTTCTTTCTTCCTTCCTTCCGTCCTTCCTATCTTTTTCTTTCTTTCTTTCTGACAGGGTCTTGCTCTGTAGCTCAGGCTGGAGTGCAGTGACATGATCACAGCTCACTGCAGTCTCAACATTCTAGGCTCAAGGGATCCTCTCGCCTCAGCTCCCGAGTAGTTACACCACCACCAGCCCCACCTGCAGACCTCAGTTTCCCCTGCCCAGGAGTCTCAAAGCTACTTGGGGGCAGTGTCCTGCTTCTTCCTTGTTACTGAGGATTCTCCAGAGAGTGGGCCTCTATGAGAAAATCACCCCCAACATACGCCCTGTGCATCCACAGTCCTGGGGCCCAAGGCAGAGCTGCTCAGGTCCAAAGCTTTGAGGCTCTACAGGAGCATCATCTAACTGCAGTGGAAA